ACACCTAAGCCCACCGAGGCCCCCGCGCGCAGCCCCAGCTGTGCCGCGGCGACGCAGGGCACTGCACAGGGCGCGGAGCGACAAAGGGAAACCAGGGGTGAAGGTATAAAAGAGAAGAAAGGGGCAGGCGTGTGCTGGGGGGGTGAGAAAGCTGGAAAGGAAAAAAGGGATCGGAATTAAGCGCAGGCAGCAGGAGAGGTGTTTGCTGATTAGAGACTGAAGGTTTTACTGAGGAAACGCTGCCCACAGCCCCGAGCCCCCTCCTGCTTAACAAGGGCCGGCCGAGCAGCCCTTGTTACTGCCACGCTGTCCGTGATTTACGAGGCTCCCAAATAGGAACCAGCCCCAGCCCTGGGGCAGCATCCCCGCACCACACAGCCCAGTGCCGACGGGGAATACGTAGAGGCAGATCGGGAGATGGGGAAAACTTGCCGATGCTCACAGGGGCCGTTTGGGGTTGCGTCAGGCAGCCGGACCCCAAGCACTGCCGCGTGCAGGGGAGGGACAGCAGGAAGGGGATGGGGATGCTCTTCACCAAGGCAAAGGCTGCAGCGGCTCAGGTCCGGCTACCAGCTGGGGACACCCTGGGTGACTCCAGAGAATTCACTGCAGCTGGTCTCCATTTCCCACAGGTCAAGTAGGGACAATGATACTCCCAGTTCTCTGGTTTATACATTGAGACTTAAGCTCTTCAGAAAAAGCAATGTCTTATATAGTACAGCATGCCAATTTCACTTGTAATCATTAGTTTTCAATACAAGACAGTACTTTTTTTGTCATTCCATAGAGCTTAAAGCACTGAAAAAGAAAACGTAAGAGAGAAAAGAGTCACAGTGCCCTTTGCTTGCAAATGAGGGAACCCCAGGGCAAGAAGAGGAAGCAAACCTGGCCCAAGGATGTACAGTAAAAGCAGTGGCAGGGCTGGAAATTAAAAGCTCTCTAACTGGGACCTCCATCCCACCAGGCAAGTTGTTCCTGGATCCCAAATCTTTTGCATCCCATCTGAAAAAAAAGACACTATACAACTGTATAATCCTCTAGCTGAAAAAACACTGTCAAGGGGACACACCTGAGCAGGTCAGCTGCGATGTCCCCACAGGATTCCTGGGCACCAGACTGTTTCTCCCCAAACCATCACACACTGACATCCGAGGGGGCAAAATTAACCTCTACCAACCCCCCTCCACACTCCAAAGTATTCATTTCACACCGTTAAGTTATACTCGCTCTCTCTGAAAGGGATTGGAAAAGGAGAGGTTTGCAGAAGGAGAGATGCTCCCCCTCCCACGTAACAACATGGGCATCCGATGGGAATGGGGGTGCTGATGCCGTAGGGAGAGGCAGGATCCCGACTAGGAGGCGAGCAGTGTCAGGAGGGGGCAGAGAGAGGCAGTATCCAACGTGTTTAAAGTCAAG